TGAGGGTGGAAACTTCGAATGGGCCCTCTACTTCCCCAATATATAAAAAAACAATTGGGATTTCCTCTGCCCGGGGGCCCCCTGGGGGGGGGGGCCCCGGGGGGTGGGGGGGGGGGGCCCCCCCCCCCCCTTTTTTTCCCCGCTTGGGGGGGGGGGGGGCCAATATCGAAATTCCGTTCAGGTCATAAATGCAGAGGTCGTGAAGTTCAATCGCGTTTCGGCATCAGTCTGTGGATTTCCGAAAGCCAAAGTAGATCGATAGCGCATCTTATTAGATGTTATATGGCTGGGAGGAACCTACGATCAAATGAACCTCAAACATCAAAGTCTTTCGAGAAAAACCCTTTCGCACTAACGACTTTCTCAACCTCAACTTCATTAAATCCCCGCAGATTGCGTATTCATACATTTCAAGTGGTAAATGACTTCTGAATAAATAACGTCGGCTCGAGTTTCTCCTACCAGTTTTGACTCGAATTTATTAGAGAAATGCTGGCGTCTAATTGAAAGCCCGCTGAAATGTTGATAGATAAAATGTTAATTTTATCGCTGGTGCCTTTTGCCCTGGGCGATTAGCTATCCTTTAGCATTATGAAGCTGGCAGGTAATGTAAAACCTTCGTTTAGTAAGCTTAAAGACATATTTCTCTCTCCCGTTTAACATAGAAAGAGTCATTTATGTTACGACGTTTTTTACAATTTTACGATAATTACTATAGTTTAAACGTTTTTTAACTTTGTGAGGTTTCAAAAAAAGATGGCGTTAGATTTAGTACTTCTTAAAACCAATATAGCCCTGAAGCATGTACACTTATATGTACTGATCCATTACTTACTTAAGTTCTGAATTCTTTCACCTGCCAAAGAAAAATCGTATACATTACACTTGAGGATAACGATGATTATAGTGGAAGTTGTTAGATTAGATCAATTAATTGAACAATCTCCACAATTAGCAGTTAAGTAGCTCCCTGGGATTCGAACCCAGGGCATACCTAACCCTGTAAATGCTCTCAACCATTGAGCTACGGAGGTCTGAATATTGACAGGATAGGATTAATAACGACAAGAACTGTGGATTTATGTTCACGTTTTATTTAACATCTTGGAAACGATTATTTATGTTGTGCCTCAGAGAAATATGAAACTAACAAGCGTTAAATATTGCAGCTTGTAATACCAGGAGCTTTCTTTGTGCGTCGCTAGAAAGCTCTTGAAAGCTGCCTCAGTCTACGATAATTGTTTAAGACTTTTATTGTGTACTAGCTGTGCCCGCGACTTCGTCCGCGTGGAATAGTGACTTGTGGTAGAATTTTTAATTATAAATCATTATTTAAACAGCCTAAGGCTGTTAAAATGATCAATATAATTTATGTAAGGGCGCATTTAGGGCAGCCAATCTTTGTTGTAAGTGCTACTTTGCCGCAACACTCTCACCTCACATCACCCCTAGTCTAACTCCCACTCTCATTCCTACACCCCCACTCCCACTCCCACTCCTATTCCCAAAAAAAAAAAAAAAGAGATAGTTTCATTGTTTTAGCTTCAAAAACCACGAATTTCCGTACAAAGTTTCATCGCCTTTTTCAACCCCTATCGACCCTTATTTGGCATTAAAAAGTAGCCTATGTCCTTTCTCAGGCTCTAAAATATCTTTTTGCCAAATATTATTTAAATCAGTTCAGTAGTTTTGAAGTTAAAGCCGGACAGACAGACAGACGGACAGATTTACTTTCGCGTTTATAATATTATTAAAATGTATAATTTATTTAAATAAAAATTAATAAATGGTATGGATAACACGGTTTAATTTTGTTCGGCATTTCTATCAATTTGTTAAAAGTAAAAAAGTAGTTATAGCGACCTAACTACAATAGTTAGACATAATATGGTTTCGAGATGTTTTTTTGTAGATATTGATATATTCTATAATATTGTCGAAAATTTTTTGTCCTATCATTAATACATTTTATGGCTAATTTTTTTAAACATTATATTGGAAAAGTATTTTTCATAGATATAATCTATATTATACATATAGTTATTACATAGCATTACATAAGTTATATACATATAGTTTATACCACAGGCAAGATTAGAATCCACGATCAATGATGTATCGCGCTCATGTCTATCAACTGAACTATCGTCGAAATGTATTTATTTATTCTATATTGCACAAAAAAATCCAGTTAAGTGTTAAGTATGTTTAACCTATGTATACTATGTAGCTGTAGGAATGCCAAATAAACAATAAATAAATAAAATTAATATGCTAGAATGCAGTGCCATGGGCGGCCTTGTCGCTAAAAAGCGATCTCTTCCAGGCAACCTAACTAGGAGAAAATATTTTTATATATTTACTAGTAGACTGTAATTTTGTGTTAATTTGTTTCGAATTTAGTTAATCATTAAACTAATATTACTAAGTCAATTAGCGTTACAACTCCTAAGACCAGTTTGCAAATAATTATCTCATAATTAGTTGAAACGGCACGTAAGCGCTTAACCGTGGACATAAACTGCGTAATTATAATTTATCTTTCGTTTAATTTATTAAAATCTTTGATATAAAATGTTGTTTGAAGGTCAAAGATCGCAAAGTCGCGGAAGCGTTTAGCATCGTAATGTTTTCTTTGTTTTTCCACTTTATAATAGGTGATATTGCGTCGAGAGAAGGTCGATTACTTATGACCAAGTATTATTAGTCCTTTGAGAGGTTTGGCATAGAAGAATTAATTATTGTTACATCGGGAACTATATTTTGTATTACTGATACTGTTAAATATAACTATTAAATAAGGTTTTTTTACTAATCTAACCAAAACACAAGAAATTAAAAAATATTGAAATAAGCTTATTTCATGTTAACATAAATTATTATTTTTTTAATTTTATCTTTTAATATTATTGTCATCGATGTAAATAATAATTCATCTAATTCAGTTGTAACATTAAAAGTATAAATTTGGTTAAAATAACGCAGTGCATTATAACTTATATTTTTTATAATTATTATTTTTATAAATATTATAGATCCTATTAGTCTAAATACAAGTAACACTCAAAAACATACTGTCTATAGTTCTCCGTACGTACGTAGTGTCTCCCCGTGACCACGGCTGCTGCAAAGCATCCGAAACGTCGGGCCGAAGTTAAAAATCATTTCCAAATAAGTTTAACTAATATATCGCGTTTTAAACCGTTAAAGTGTTTTATTTAAACTCAAAAACATTTTATAATTAACAGATCAGTACAAAGTGGGTCTATATTTATGGTAGAGGCCATTTGAAGCTAAAAACATTAATTAGCCGCTTAGCAAAATTTAGGCCACTATTTCCAGTCCGGGGTGGGCCCAATGACTATAACACGACCTTCATCATCAAGGTGTCATATTGTCAACACTTGAATGACGAATCATTGCCTCAATATTGAGGGCGTGGAATACCTTGGCATTTTGTTCACTGGCTTTTGAAACTAAGACGAATGTTACAAATTGCCTTTTAGGCTTTCTAATTGTTTTAAGTTAAATTATTACTAGTTTTCGGAACCAAGGATACCTCTTAAGTTATTTCAGAGCTTGTTTCTAGGCGTTTATTTCGAAAATCCCTATTCTAATACATTAGGTTACAATAATAATTTACGATATAGTTTATTGAGCTCTTATTTGTAGTGTTAACATTAAATATATAATTCGATAGTGTTTTTAAATAAAACACTTTTTTACAGTTTAAAACGCGAAGTATATTAATTAACTATTAACGGAGACCCTCTATGACTACGGCTGCTGCAAAACATCAAAAACTTCGGGCCGTAGTTAAAATAAATTTTAAACAAGTTGATTAATACATTTTGTTGTAAATTGTTAAAAGTGTTTTATTTAAAAGTAAATTTTGATTGTTGAAAACTTTTCCATTTTTTATGTCCCTAGTAGTTAACCCAGAAACGACCAGCCCCGGTCAAAATAGATTTGGTGTAATAGTACCAAAGTAAGGCTAATAAGCAAACGGGTCTTGGGATTCGATCCCCACGGGGTGCCATATCTTTCTAATCAATTTAAGATTTTTCTGAAACATGGTGGAGTCTGGTATACTATTGGATACTAAATGGGTGGTAGGAATATCGAAACACCGTCCACACATGAAAAAGTCGCCAAGTTTAATCGTGTTTCGTTAGGCTGTGGATTTCCGGATATCCAAAGTCAAAATAGATCGACAGCGCATCTTGTTTAGATATTTTATGGCTGGAGTATTTCACTAACCTTTCTGTTCTCCTCTATCAAAATATCTAAGAAATTGACGAACACTTATAACTTGACCTCGCTTCAGCATGAGCGCCTCATTTTAGGAGTTGCACCTCCTAACTGCATTCCGTCTCGCGTCCTCTAAGCCTGCATTCGGACGATCAAATTCGCCATCTAAATTATTCGCGCCGCGGTATTCGTGCGAAGGTTTAATTTTTTGTCGCGTTTCCTTTTTTGCGCGGATCGTTACGCGTTTGGGAAATTACTGGCTTCATTAGATATGTAACGCGAATTAACTGGCGATTAATTTAATATGGCCCAAATATCTAGAGCCTTTTTTGTTTTTCATACACCAGACGAGATTTCGTAAAATTTATTTGATTGTAATGCTTGGTTATTCGTGAGTGTTTATTGTTTTTTCACATTTTAGTCTATTTTTCCGTGATTGGCCAATATGGTAAACAAACAAGAACGGATCTTAAATATTTATGTAAAAATGATGTAGGCAAAACATATAAAAATATTTCTTATCCATAAGTGAGATACATACGTACTCTACAAATTTTTAACGTGCAAGGTAACAGGTACCTTGTTGTTCAGAAATGAGCCTAAGTCCCTATGCGATTTACTAGGATGGTAATTTTCTTTTATGTGCAGTATATATCACAAACAGTGGAAACAAACCTCTGTCTGAATATTTATAATTGAAAAACATAGTAAAGTTTTATGTCTATTAAACATTATTTGTACCATTACAGGAGGAATTGGACCTAACAGCGGTAAACAAGGCGGCGATGATGGAGCTACCAGCCGCCAAGAAGTGGCAGATCTACTGCAGCCGACGACCACCACCAGGGCAAACAGCCGTACTTGCGACAGCACCGCAAGTCGAGGAGTACATCAAAGCACTTAACGAGATTGCTGACGTATGTATCTTATGCTATTTGCCAATATAAGCCAATAGAGCGTTACCTCTTTTCTAAAATTCTCTACAAATACACAAAATGGTCAAGTTGACTTTTAATTACAACACTTGAACGGTTTAAAACGCGATATAATTAGTTAAATAGGTTTAACCAATATGTGCCTCGTTTTAAAACGTTGAAGTGTTTTATTTAAATGTGTACTACTTGTGTAAACTACATACAGTATTCAAATTGACTTTTTTTCCATTGGGAAAATTTGTAGATTTTCGCAATTACATGTCGGTACGTATATACGGATGTAAGGGATGTATGAGTATTTAGTTTATATTTTACGCACAAATCACTAGACCGATTTCGATAAAACGAAATTAGACAAATACTCTTTTAAATACCGTTTGGTAGTATTCGCGAGGAGTTTTTACCTATTATATTTTGAGTTTTAAACTGTTATTGTTTTATTTAAACATATCTCTTTATATACCTTTATTCAGTTATATATTTAAATTCACTTTTTTTATGTAGTGTTAATATATTTTAAGGGGGCTGGCTTTGTACGCCACTTCCCGCGCGTTTCACTTTTCAGCCGGATAAACCAGTAAAACCTTGTTTTTCAATCTTCCAGGCCTTTGCCTCATCAGATGGCATCCCACCGACGGAAGCTTGTGCTCTGGTAGACGGCTTGAAGACAGCGCTTCGAACGAGGGCCCATAGCTTCGTACTCCGGTTCATTAAGCAGGGCGGTCTAACTGCTTTGCTGGAAGCACTCCAGAAGGCACCGAGAGACGACGCTATCACCAGGCATAATTTAATAGCCGGGATAAAGGCTCTTATGAACAACTCGGTAAGGGCGTGAAGTGGATGCATTTCATTAAACTACTCCCTTCTTCATTAACCTTTATTCTCGTCTTTTATTTTCGAAAAGACTAATGTGTGTAATACAATTCCCCGCAAATGAATTAGTTGTTTTGTTACGCCTATATTTGGGGATAGCTAGCTTTTCCTTATTTCTGAAGGAGCTTATCCTTCTATCGGTGTCTCAAATAAAAATGATAATATTCGGTTAGACTGTTGTTTGTTATTATAGTAAATATTAATAAGTATAATTTTAATATTACATTTTATCGCATTTAAAAGATACAAAAGAAATTAATGTGCATGTCTTTATTCCTTACTTAGTATAGATCCTCTATAGTAGATGTGTAGGGATTAACAGTTACTAATTATAATTTCCGAGATCCTGTATTTGGCATTCATAGTAAATGATGTTTTTTTTCAGACTGGCCGAGCTCACGTATTAGCTCACCCTACAAGTATCGACTTAATAGCACAGTCTTTGGACACTGAAAATGTGAAGACTAAAGTAGCAGCACTTGAGATACTCGGCGCCGTCTGTTTGGTACCTGGGGGGCATAAGAAGGTATCCTATTTTTCTTTAATGCCGTTATTACAAAAAATTGTTAACGGAGTAATGTAAAAACATTGTGATTTATGCATTTTTATCATTTAAATATTGATTAACGTGATAATAACCCTTTTCAAGCAGTTTTTGTTTTACATACGATTTAAACCTATTTATTGAGAGTGCTTGCACTTCGCTGGGGATTTTATTAAAGTATCGTATGCAGTTACCTTGAAAAGAACTACTACTTTTATGAAGCCTTTTGTTTGGTACACTTATTTTGTCCTTATTACGTGTATTGTACTTAATAATAAGTCAGCAATAAATTAAAATAAGTTAGCAGACAACAAGAGAGCAGTTAAAAACTCAAGTCTTAAAATCGCTTACAGGTGCTAGAAGCAATGATTCACTACCAGAAGTACGCTGGTGAAAGAGCGCGCTTCCAAGGCATCGTGAACGAGCTGGACCGCAGTACGGGCGCATACCGCGACGACCTAGGCCTGAAGACCGCCATCATGTCCTTTGTGAACGCAGTTCTGAACTACGGACCTGGTGAAGAGAGCCTGGAGTTCAGATTGCATTTAAGATATGAGTTGCTCATGTTGGGCATACAGCCTGGTAAGTTATTAAGAAAGTAGGTTTAGTAAGAGTTTCAGGAATTTGCAAGTAAGGAAATCATTATTTCGTCAAGGGATGCATCTCTTTGATGACGTCATCCAGTTGTGCCAATTTTCCATATATACAATTAATTACAACCGGTAAATAAACCGTCTAGCGGTTTATGCGAACCGGCTTTGGTAACTTAGAACTACATCCATAAAAAAATATACCACTGCATCTATCCAGTCTGTCCACCAGCAACTCGTGCGTATTACTGTCTAAGTCGTTCAAGTACAGAGGTAACATGTACTGCCAGGTACGTTTGCCATACGAATTGCGCGTTGTATATGAGTAAGTTTCCTTAAGTTACCAGGCTTTATTCTATACTTGAGCGACGGAACGTTTTCAATTTCTTTACAAAGCATGAAAGATACAATGATTCAGTATTCTCCCAACGTCTTAAGCTACTTTTACCATCGTACAGTAATCGAGAAACTACGCAAATACGAGAACGAGACCCTCGACCGTCACATCGAGTTCTTCGAGATGGTCCGGACGGAGGACGAGCGGGAACTGTCCCGACGCTTCGACAAGCAGCACGTCGACACCAAGAGCGCGGCGGAGATGTTCGACTTGTTGCGCAACAAGTTGAGCCACACCGCCGCCTACCCGCACCTGCTGTCGATGCTCAGACACCTGCTGCTGCTGCCGCGTGAGTATTATTACGCACACATTCACACACACATACACTTCTATTCATACCATCGTACATTTTGGGATCAAATCCCCCTTGTTTTGTGCTATGCGGGTTAATAACAAGCTATAAGAGGAGATGGATATTTTCATGAGCAGCTTGGGTGAATTGACAAAAACATTACTTCATGAGTTGTGTTATAAGTGTATATAATTGTAATATTATATTTACTCTTTGCATCGCATTGGGAATCCCCTGCAAAGTTAGATAGACTTCATATAAATAAATAAATATTAAACACTGTTTAACTAATATATCGCGTTTTAAATCGTTAAAGTGTTTTATTTAAATGAATATTTTTTTTAAGTGTTTCGTTATCATCTTTGTCTATGCTCAGATGAATACCCTATTTTATTTTGTTATTTTGGTTTATATCAAATCATCATCAACCAAAATCGTCATCAAGTTTCAATCGTTATCATTTATACTAAATGATATTAAAAATGTACACATTAAAATATTTTTAACTGTAAGCGATAATAATATTAAATAATCAATTACAGTGGAATACAATCCCCACGCGCAGCATTGGTTGCTACTGGATCGTGTAGTGCAGCAAGTTGTGCTGCAACAGCCATCCGCCGGCAGCCGAGCGAGCAGCCACCAAGGCGACAGCGAGGAAACTACAAAGGTACGGCTTAGTAAATAAAATGACTGCACTAATAAAACATAAATTTATATAATTTATTGACCGAAACTTTTTTTATTGCATAAGTCTTAAAACGCCTTAACAGTTTTGCCTCTTACCTCTTCTGCTATTCATTGTATATTAAGAAATACCTTAAATAAAACTCAAACAAATGCGGCAACACACAATTTCCATTATCATAAAGAACTACAAAAAATAATAATCAAAACCTATATTTAATACTTTAATTTAAATAATTTTTACAATATCACAATAATTTCAGCTCTACGACCCTGATGTTGCTCCGTTAGAGATAAACGTAGCGGAGATAGTGCATCTGTTGGCTAAAGAGGAAGAACTCGTGGCCGCTAGGAGTAAAGCTGACAATCTAGAAAAAGAAAATGTGGACCTGGCTACAGAGCTAGCGAAGAAGGTGAGGAGTCGAAATTGTATGATAACGCTTTATTTCATGGGCGGAAAGCTAAAGCTAAAGTCATTTAGCCTGAAGCTAATCAAAAAAATAATCGATTATGAAATAATCGAATCGTCAATCGATGTTTATTATTTAAATCGATATATCGAGTAATAATTTAATCAGTGAATTAATTAACTGATTATGTACATATTTATAAATTAATTCTACATTTTGAGATTAACTTTTATCGAAGCAAACTTAATTAAAATAAATCGATAAGTTTAATATTTAAAAAAATCGATTGACAATTCATGCTATTGGATAATCGCATATCTAAATTTAACAGGCCCAGGGTACAGGTTAGCATTATTTACATCCATAAAATAATAAAATAAATGAAATAAGATCGATTTTTCATTTAATGCCATAAAACAATATACGAATTGTTGGTTATTTACGGTTCATTCATAATGTGTGAAGAGACCTTAAGGTGTTATAATAGCAAAGAATTGATTTAAACACGTTTTCATGATATTCTTATATCTAATTTGATTTAAACCTACGTTGTAATATTATTTCATTATTTAGTTTAGGTAATTGAAACATTGATCATTTGTAGGAAAGTCATTTTGGAATAGAATTGATCAAGTTTACAATTGCATTAAGAACCTAACATTAAAGTTGTTTTATATTTATAAATATATATATTTTTATGAAATGTGTCCCAATAAAAAAGAAGAAATAAACACAATGCTTTAAGAAGTAATAAGTTTCCACCTCCAAAATTGTCAAACATTTCTTGTTCCACATTAAACTGAGGATAAGGCCTTCTTCAAAAGTTTTTTTTTATTAAATGGGTCTCTTCACCCTATCATCACAATTAACCAAGCATCCGCATGTGTAACGCTAACAGGAGAAGCAACTAGATCAGCAAAGCCAGGAACGCGAAGAGTTGGAGGGCATGGTCTGCAGGATTAAGGAGCGGCTCGAGAGGGAGACGGCTGCGCACATGGAGTGCACTGAGAGGGCGAGAGCCAGCGCTTGTAGGGCGCACCAGCTTGAACAACAGGTGGGACTAACGAGTTTCATACTCGGTACTAAAGGAAGATAATAATGTTTTTTTCAGCTGCCAGTGCTTTCTACTGTGGCATATCCCAAGTTTCCGAATATCCAAAGCCAAAGTTATCGACAGTGCATCTGGTGTTCTGGCTTGTTTTATGGCTAGGGTATTTCACCTCCCATCCAGTGAGCCGCTTGATTGATTCTCTGTCCTCCTCTTAAATTAAAAAAAAATCTCTAAGCGCACCAACAGATTTATATGTAACAGGTGTCATGGCACACTTCATATAATCTATGGTAATGGTAATTATTTACATTATTGAATTGAACATGATTTTGCAGAATTTAAATATTAAAGATCTCAAGTGAAGCAATGTCCCCTACGCGTTTGGTTCAAATTTTAACGATTACAATTATGGAAATGTATTAGTTAATTTATTTTAACTACGGCCTCACGTTTCGCAGTGACCATAGTTAAAATAAATTGTAAATTAGTTAGCTAATATATTTCGCGATTTCAATCGTTAAGTGTGTATTTATGCTATGTAAAGAAGCCGAGATTGTTGTATGTATTGGTTTTATTTGGTAATTATTTTCATATATGTTTCATTTGATTTTGTTCAGCTAAATCAAGAAAGAGCAGAACGTGTCAGATTCGAAAAACTAGTCAGTGAGGGGAGCATACCCGATGACGCAAAGGTAATTTCTCAAACTGTCCAAAAACCGATTGTCTCTTTTTTAGTTTAAAAGATGTTGACTATTTTTGAGAAAGTGTTAAACTATAAATAATCGCCAACACTGAAAATATTCTATAGCAAAAACTACCAATTTGCAGTCAAGTTATATTACTCAAATATAGTTCTCTTTGATTACAGTCAACATATCTATTAGAAAATTAATATACCTATAATTAGATAAGACCATTGTATTGTGACCTTAGGAGGGGATCACATTTCGGGGAAACAAAGAATAGTGGTTATGTATCAAAAATTATTTTCAGGTTAGCAATCTAAAGAGTGCCGTTATCGAGACCTGCTCTGCTCCACCGCCCCCTCCACCCCCTATCATATCCATCCCTCCCCCTCCCGCAGCGCCTGTGCCCCCACCCGCGCCTCTTGCGCCGCACGCCCCCGCCCCGCCGAGACCTAAGAAAAACGTACCGACACCAGGGAACCCCCTGAAGAGCTTCAACTGGAGCAAACTACCCGACACTAAGTTACACGGCACCATTTGGCAGGAATTGGATGACACTAAACTCTATAATGCCATAGATCTACATACGATTGACAAGATGTTCTGCGCATATCAGAAGAATGGAGTGCAAGTGCGTATTTTCTGTGATGTATACAAAGTATTGTCAGTAGTTTACGCGAGTAGTTTCAATTAAACCACTTTTAACGATCTAAAACGATCTGAACCGACGTTTCGGTTGCTCTCATTAATTTGACCACGGCTGTTGTGAAGGCAGGTCATAGTTAAATTGAATACCAGTTCACCAATGTATTTTGGGTTTCGAACAGTGAAAAGTATTTTATTTAGATATATAAGTAAAAATAGAATTGACAGCTCAGGGATGGAACTAACCAGGACCACATTAAAATGATTAATGGAACTATCAAAATTCATTGTAAGGATATTCCTAAAAGATGGCATAAATTAAACCTTTGTTTGTTAAACTTATCTAAACTTTGAAAAAAGTTAACGAGATTTACACACACTGAGCTTCTTATTCGAAACCCTGTGATAATGTGTTCAAGCTCCGCCCATGTCATCGAATAGGATCCAAGTAGATTTTTAGTTAAAATAAATCTATCGTATTTTGTATTAAGATTGACATTTTTGAGTATTTATGTTATTTTATATTTATTTATCTTCCAGAACGAGGGTTCAGTGGAGGACCTGAGACAGTTAGGATCTAAACCAAGAACGAAGATATTATCCGTTATCGATGGACGAAGGGCGCAAAACTGCACGATTCTATTGTCCAAACTGAAAATGTCTGATGAAGAGATTTGCCGGTACGTTAAAAAGAACATAATTTCCTTACTAGAATATCATTAACTTTTAATCTATTATAGTGTGGAAACATACAACCTAAAAATATGGCATAAAGGTCATTCTCAACTTTAGTTACACGGAAGAGGATATTTTTGTTCCCTAAGTGTTAAAATATTTTGATGTGGTTTTTTTAAAAAGTTTGGTTTTCCCGATTGGTCGTTGGTAGGTGAAATTCCGCCACGAAATTTGATTAAATTCCGGCTTGTTCATCTGTCACGATGGTGGTTGGTGGTTTACGGACGATGGTTACGAACCACTCGGACGGGATTTCCAATTTCCAACCCCCCATTTTTTAAATAATTTCACGAAATCAGTTTTCAGTTAAATAGTTATGTAAAATTGTAAATCATACGCTTAAAAACATGATAGCTTTCACGGAATTCTCTTATTGTGATTTAAATTCTTCTATTTCCAGAGCAATCCTACGCATGGACAGTTCAGAACAGCTCCCGATAGACATGGTGGAACAACTCCTCAAGTTCACGCCGAGTGCTGAAGAAGCGGCCCTTTTGGAGGAGCACCAAGATGAGTTGGATAGCATGGCGAGAGCGGATCGGTTCCTATACGAGATTTCCAAGTTAGCATTATTTTATTTACTTTTATATGAGGACGGTAGTTTTAGAAGTGAGTTAAATCCCATTTTTTTTTATCGTGGGAAGGACAAATTTTTATGTCTCCTCGCAAATGGAAATTAATTAATTGTTTTCCAATTTGAAAAATCGATAACACAAACTTTTCCCCACATTTTTCATTGATTTTTCGCTCTCATCAGTTATGGCATAAAACCTCTCTCGATAAATGTTCCAAATATTTTTTTAATTTGAATCATGAGATTTACACGTTTAAACAAACAAACAAACAAGATCATCAGATTTATAATATCAGAATAGATAACTGTCTTATTAAAGTTTTGATAAAATTATAAAGAAATTTCTATCATTCTTTATTACTGTATTCCAGAATACCACACTACCACCAGCGCGTGCGTACGCTGCTATTCAAGAAGAAGTTCTCAGCAGCCGTATCTGAGGCTAGCAGTCGTGCGTCTGTTGTACTTCGCGCTGCAAGAGACATGACTCGTTCTAGGAGACTTCGAACCTTACTTGAGATCGTTTTAGCGTTGGGCAACTACATGAACCGGTAAGATGCACTGGACCTTCTAAATTAAAAAAAAAATACAAATAGCATAATTTAAAAATCGAAAATCAGTCAGCGGCTGACGATGCCGGTTCAAGTCCTGCCCAAGTCGAAATTTTTTTCAATTTATTTTCGATTTTTAAATTATATAGTGCCTTCATGTGCGATTGCACATGAAGGCACTATATAATTTAATGTAAAAAATATTAAAGTTTTATAATTTTGAGCCACTAGGTTGTATGTTCAAATTGTGGGGTCATAGTTACAAAGAAGTTTCATAATATATTTCTCAATCTTCTGTTAGAATTGTTATATTTTGATTGTATTCATCAGTATTATTAAATTAAAATTTTGAATTCTTCTATTTTGTACTCTCTGTCTACTTTTTATTTATGTATAAAATATTTTGTTCTTCTAGTGGTGCCCGTGGCAACGCATCCGGCTTCCGTTTGTCTTCACTGAACAAGTTGGCCGACACCAAGTCAAGCGTGACCAGGAACACGACCCTTCTTCACTACCTCGTTGAAATGTTGGAGACTCAGGTACCGTTCAAATCGATTATCTCGACAAATCCATTCTACTTTTTCTGAATAAATATATTAGTAAAACAAATGAATGCATTGTAGATTGTCTGTAGCTTACGCGAGTAGTAGTCATTTATTTAAAGCAGACTTGTTAACAAATAATTTTAACTCCGGTCCGACGTTTCGGATGCTTTGCAGTAACCATGATCACGGGGAGGCAAAAGATGGAGGGCATGTTTAATTTTAAAGTAAAAAAAAAACTGCTTAACGCTATCTGTTTCGTCGTAGTGGGTATTTGGCAAAACTGTCCGGGTCCTTGCAAAATTAAATACCTGCGTCTTCACGTTTACCGGTATGCTACGGAAAACGAAATGTCGGGCGGTAGTTAAAATAAGTTTAACTCATATATATCGGGTTTAAAACCGTTATTGTTTTATTTAAATGAATGCATTTTACTATTACTCTAAAAACATTGTACTAAAAACTTTTATCCCTATTCAGTTTAAAGACGTCCTTCTCTTGGAAGAAGATTTGCCCCACGTCCGTGCAGCAGCTAAAGTCTGCATGGAGCAACTTGAGAAAGATG